TGAAATATATAAAATCCAATGTGTATCATATCTTGTTAAAGTGTGAAAGTAAACAACGAAAATGCAAATTTTTGTGAGTATAACAAATTTGAAATAAATTATCAAAGAAGGAAATTGAATTTAATTAAACTCTGTCTAATTTAAAATTTGAAAAAAAATTTTTTTTTGATAAATAATTCGTTCTTATTGCGAAATAGGAGCACTATTTATCAATCTGTAATAAAAGACGTGAGGAAATTCTGTCTTTTTTAAAGACAAACATTTTTGAGGCGAAATACCCAAAAAGAAGTTTGTAAAAACGTAAATATTACATAAGCAGAAAGTTCTGACCTGAAATGTGCTTTCGGTTATTTGCAGCTCCATTCCGGATATCGTTATGAAATACTTTCGATTGCTCGTCGATAACTCGGGAGTAACTTCCAGTTTTTGCATCGAGCTGGGCGCAACCTGAAAAGCGGTTTTCCGAAAATTCTTATTAAATGCTTCAAGCAGCGGCTGAGATGGTTCGAATTGTGCTCGATTTTCAAGGGTTGTTTGGACGTGTAAAAATAGTGTAAATATTAAATTTTTCACTCGTTGTAGTATGTAAAACTCACCTTAATTCCGTTCAGGTACCAACTAACGTTTGTCGAGGGAAACGAAGGCAGAGTCGTGCAATTTACACTTACAAAGTCGCCAATGTCCACCAAGTTCTTATCTATGGTCAATGAAGGGTCATCAATGGGGGCGTCTGGAACAGAAGTACTTTCAGCCTCGAATTCCAGTAACTTGCGTTATTGACCTCTTTGGCAAATGAGTAACAAATGGCCTACATAGCAGTGGCAGTCGTTTAAATATTAATCAGAATTGTATTCCACATGTGCGAACTCCTGCAGCTGCCTATTCAGGATTATAATTTCGTGATTGCCGGCAATAAATCCTCTATTTCAAATGCATAATTTCGCTTAATATTGCCTGTGCTATGCGGCGACAACAAAAAACATTGATGAAACTGTTGAAATACCCACCGACCACGTACATGTAACCGGAATCCATTTTCGTGTAAAAATTGGGCGCATCAGATGAAACTTCGCATTTGTATCTGCCAGTTACTTCTGGTTGCACGTTTCTTAACACTAGTTCGTTTCGGGTACTTTTGCTCAACTGGAACAGTACGAAAAATTAACAGTGGAATGGGGGAAGATTAATATTAGTATCATACATCCACTTCGATTCCTGGCATAGCAAACACCTTGGAGTTGGGAAGTTCCTTGGGAATAAACCTGAAGAGTTCCTTGCTGCCTTTGTACCACTTTACGGTGTAAAGTGGCTCACCTTCCAGGTCAAACGCGCATTGCAAAGTAATGGTCTCTCGCATCCGCACTGCTTCAGGAACCGTTACTCTAACGTCTTTTAGACTTTCTATTACGACTGAAAACAAACCAAGTAAGCACTTAATGCACTGGATAACTCCGATAACTAGGAGAGGAAATTGGGAAGTTTTACTACTTGGCTCATAAAACCTATTGAAGGTGAATTTATTTTGTGTTTGAGATTTTACTATTACTCCTTTTGGTCCATATAGTTTCACTCGATTTTACAGAATGGTCTTGTTTGCAGCA